GTTTTGTCTGCAGTGCTTGCCACCCCCACGCAGGCACCGACTACGCCCGAACCGACCACGACTACGGCCGGACCAACCTCGCCCGAACCGACTTTCGCCCCGTCAGATTAGCCAGCAGATCTTGTGTTCCAGGGGATGGCGAGTGCTACCTCAGCCCTAAAAACATCTCAAGCGTTGTGAAACTTGGCATTAAACGTTCAGTCAAAATATTGTTTTCCGTCCGACTTCCGGGCGTTTTTTGCCTGGTTCAACCCAACCTCTGGAGCAACAATTAATGTGTGTCGAGCCAGGAGTGATGACCCTACAAATCTTCAGCCGGTCCGACTGAGCTGCTAAGCCCATCCGGGTTTCCCGGTAGAGGAGGCGACCACACAGTAAAAAAAGATTCGCCGATTCGGTGACGTCTGGGCGCCAAAACGAGAATATTACAAGAACAGCAACACCCTCAAACTGTTCTGGCGGCCCTCTGTTCGTTTCGGCGACGCTCGGTCTAGTTTCGGAGGCGCTCGGTCCGTTCCGGAGCGGCCACCTCACCAGAACGGCACTGCAGTCACCCTCCCGCCACGACTTTTAATCGCGTTTTAAATGTGAAATAGGACACAAAAAAGTCAGGGGCTGTCAGAATCATTCGCGTGTCATCAAAGCGTAACGTTGCCGGCGGGCACGCACAAATATGCACAAACAGCTCAAAAACAGTTGTTGTGGTCATCCTAACCTCTCTGGCGGAACACCACCTGGTGACGCAGGTCACCGTTTTGGTGACAGACCGTCGCCGGGTTTGTAGGGGTACCCGTTTCGGTGAGATTGGATATAGAACTACCACCAAAACAGCGAATCTTTTTTTACTGTGCATGGACTGGGGTGACCAGAAAAATAAATTATTACAGAGTAACATAAATCAATATGAGAATAGGCAAAACTATCTTTGCACGATATAGAGTTGAAATGTTGGACCGTATGAAGCGTATGGGACGGCCCAAAGTTGCCGATATGCATCGCCACTTTTCCTGTCGTTTTCCGGGCATTCCGCCGGAGCTTCCACCGAAAGGCCCGTACGTAATTCGCTGCGTGACCCCTCTGCGCGGAACGAGCCGCGTGACGCTTGATGAAAGAGGACAAAGGATCCACGTGGAGGGGGCGGGCGAGCGCCCAGCGCGACAAGCTCACTAATTACACGGCCCTGCCTGAAGCGCCATGTCGCTCCTCCGATTCCTGCTGGTCGGGACGCTTGTCCCGATGCTGAATGGTGGCAACCACGCTCGAGGCAAAAGCATCAACACGTACGCTGTACGGAGCCGGGTGATTGTGGTGACCGTAGATTTAGCATGTTTTAGCCGCACACGGCAGAAACGGTTTCTGGTTGGAGCGCCCTGGAAAGCGCCCACGCCTTTACTGTATGCTGCTTTCGGAAAGCCAGGAACCGTTTTTGACTAGTTTTGTCAATGTGTCAATAATTTGTAATCCCTAGGGGATCTTCACCAATGAAGTAGTGGGCCTGAGTGGGCGCAAGCGTCTAGGTACGGAATTATTTAGTTTTCTGTTACTGGCCTCACTGAAAATCCAAGTGTGGGACAGGCATGCACTAGATAACGTGGGACAAAATGTCCCACGCTTGTAAGTGTGGGACACGGTTTGTCCCACGCGAGGGGGTATGCACTCGCGTAATAGTCGGTTCACTCTATCTGTAATAGCACGCGTAATAATACGCGTAATAGCCGAAATTGTCAAAATTTTATCAATTTTGGTGTGTTTAAGGCCGTTTTTAGCTGAATTCCGATTAATTTGTGGCGTAATAGAGCGTAATAGCGTAATAGTCGGTACACAGGTTCAGAGAGCGCATACCCTCTCGGTCCCACGCTTGTAAGCGTGTAACACGGTTTGTCCCACGTTATCTAGTGCATGCCTGTCCCACACTTGGATTTTCAGTGCTTCGAGCCCGCTAGGTAGTCACCCGCTACCACTGCAGGCGCGGTTGAAGGAGCCCACGACAGGGAGGGCGATTGTGTATATTTTGCCTACCTACAGGGGCATGTGATGCTGGTTGCCTACTATCAGCCCCCCCCCCATATTACGGATCGAATTTTATTTGTAATACGGATGTTTTTGTCCGCAATACAAAGGTTTTGGTGTCCGCAATTTACAGATAATTTTGCAACTTACAGACACTAAAACCCTTGTTTTACGAACAAAAACATCCGTGCTACAAACGAAATTTGGTTCATAATATGGCTTCATACAACTGTCCGAAACCTACAAAACGGGTATCAGTCTAAGGACTTAAGGGTGTAGACATCTGCACCCACTACGGTAAAAAAGTGGTAAATAAAAAATGAGTCGCTCGGGGTGCCCAAGATACCTTCAAACAGTAATAACTTTCCAAAGAATCGTTTCCTAGTACAAAGGCGAAGTCCGCCTGCCTGAAAGGTAGGCAAAAAGTCCCACTGCCCCTATGGGTAAGCAACTTGTGCCCCCCCCCCCCCCATACACACACCCACACACATACATACATACATAAAAGTTTCTGGACCCGCACCAGGCCACACGCCAAAAAAAAACTTGTCTTTCTATCACAGTCGTTTCAGTCATGCGAACCAAAACACACACACAACTCTACCGTTACGCTGACGTGAAAGCAGATGATGAATGAGATTGTAATCCAATTCGTATCGCAATGACAAGTTTATATGTAGGCATGCTTGCGATTGGTATCACTTGCGTTGTTGGGACACAGGAATGCCAAAAACTGACATGTGTGCAACTCAAAAGTATTGATGAGACTACACTGGTTTTCTAAAGGTTTCTAAGAAAATGAACTCAATTCAGAACCAATACCAGTTTAATTGCAGTATTGGCGCCATGAAAAAGTCATAGCATTATAAATGCGATAAATATTGTTTTGCATCTTTACTTCTCTAGCGTAGTTATCACTTGATCCAGGAAGCGGAAGAAGGGAATAACTTGACTTACAGTATCCCCAAATTGAGTTTTCATTTTATTATTGTGCCTTAGAATGGTTTCCATCACTACACCAAATTATTTGACTGAATTCGAAGCAGTTTAGGAGAAAATCCACATGGAAAAAGGGTATAACTCAACTTCACCCCTTTTACGGTCTAAATTTCATTGGAAATTGGAGATAACTCAACCGAAGTCCACATGAGTCCGTTTGACAAATTGGCAAAAGGATATAACTCAACTTGTATTTTTATGAATCTAGTGTAAAAAGAATCAACTCAACTTAACCCCCCCCCCCTTAATTTTAAATTTCAATTTGGAAAAAAGAGCTAAGTCCAAAAAATACACCAGAGTAACATACACTTTATGCAGACTATTGTTCCACTTGACTTGTCTCCAAATTCCTCTTTGTTTAGGAAATATAAGGTGAGCTGACTCTGTTTTCCATTTCAACGGAAAGCGATAAGTCGCAGAAATCCTCTACGGAGTGACCTTACACTTTTGATTTTTTTCCAAAATTTTACTAATGCTTTTTGAAATTATTAACATCTGCAACATTCATTTGTTTTGTTTTAGTTTTCCCTGCTAACAGTTTTTGGTTTCTCCTGGAAAATGGCCAAAATTGAGTTATCCCCATCTTCCGCTTCCTGCGGATCAATTGAGAGCGTAAAAGGGGTCGAGTTGAGTTATATCTTTTTGGCCCGTCCCGTTTATTTTTTGAAAAATATGACGGCGGGACGGGCATATAGTATGATCCCTGCTGTGCGTCCGTCCGTCCGTCCGAGGACTTCCCATGGTCCGATCGTGACGAAATTTGGTACGCAGCCTCCTAAGAACCGCCCGGTGGCAGCAAATCCGACCCGAGCCCCGGGGGCGCTCCTGCAGGTGCATCATGGTCTACATGGGGTCGAGGAGGATCTCGGCAACGGATGCAGCTAGGAGGGCATGTAGGGGTATTTTTGGAATCGGGGCGACGAGAAAAAACCAATGGTGACAGTTTTGAGCGAATAGGAGAAGTTCGGACCCGGGTTCAAATCCCAGCGGGTTATTTTTTGAACATTCTTTTTATTCGAGTTTTTGCATTGTTTCTGATGTTTTTGAGGGTGCTGACGACGAAAACGACATTTATTTTAACCCCAGACTAAGGTTTAATTCCCGTCAGGGTCAAACATAGGCGAAATTCGTACGTTTCTTAACGTACGGGACGGGCGAAAGTTGCCGATGTATATCGCTACTTTTCCTGTTATTTCAAAGTATATTTTCTCTCTAACTGCTTGAAAGTGATTCAAATAATTTGGCGCAATGATGTAAACCATACTTAGGGACAATAATGCATTTAAAACTCAATTAGGAGATAAGTCTAATTATTCTCTTCTTCCACTCCTTGGACCAATTAAACCTCGAATTAAACTATGTTTTAATCTAACCAGCGTGCAGTGGAAACGGTCCAAATGCGCACGGACTCCGACGGGACCTGGACGGATCTTTGTTCAAATCGGTATCGCTCAGGGGAGATATCTGGATTCGCTTATAAGCGAATAGGCCGTGGTTCCGGATGAATCGGCTGGGACGAGAAACATGTTTTCTGGTTTTCCAGGGACCGTATATTGCCTTCGCCCACACTTTTGACCCCTGCCCCTCAGATGAAACCTTGGGCGTGATGTCGGTTCGTCCAAGCCATTTCAACCCAAGCAGACCCTTCGACCGACAGACTCTGACGGGATATTTTAAACCAAAAGTAAACGTGACGAACAATAATTGGGTAAGTCAAGCTGTCAAGGACGTGGTCCTTGCTTCCGCGGGGCACGGTTGTCTACGATATAACTACACTCTCATTCCAGGAACGTGACATTACGTTGAAACGAACGTGACAAAATATCACGTTCGTTTGAGCATTGTGTAACATTCGTTTGCGTGTGAATTGGCCAAAAATCAGCTTGTTCACATTCAAACGAACGTGACACAATGCTCAAACGAACGTGACACAATGCTCAAACGAACGTGACTTTTTGTCACGTTCGTTTCAACGTGATGTCACGTTCCTGGAATGAGAGTGTACATTTGCTCTACGATATTGTCGGAGTAAGCCTTATCAGGAAACAAAGCAAAGACCAAAAATTCAGTAATATCAACACAAATTGATGTGAAGACAAATTCAATCTTTAACATGGTTCACCATCCATGTGACAAAAAAATGGATGCAGAGCTACTCAGTCCCCGCTAGAAGTTTTCCATCCAAAATTTTTCCACTTGATACTTGAGAAGTAAAAATGACCCTCTCCCTATAAGAAATAATATCGGGAAGTATTTCATAACGTCGCATATTCTTGAAGAATTTTGTCTTATTATAAAACCTTATCAAAAAACAAAATATCGATTTTTTACTCGTTCTTTACACACCACTCACTAACATACAAGACTCTATGTGAAGAGAACGAGTATTGTGTTCAAAAATGAGTTTTGGGGGGACATCTTTCATCTCAGATCTCACAGCATGTGGGAAAATGAGAGTGGTATCAAATGAAAGATGGAGTGTCAGTCGCTTGATCGTAAATGAAGTTTTTTTTACTTGCAATGAGAAATATTGAGAAAATGAACATGAAAGAGAGACGTTTTTAGTGCACTATGTGAAACTAACCTCTTTTCACGTGTCTGTATCTTTTGATGTTGAACGCCACTGAAACGCAAAGTACAACACGGGAAAAGTACCGCCTGGGATTCCCAGGCGCATCATGGGAAAAAGGGCCTATTTTCCAGGCGCTGCCTGGGAATCCCAGGCGGTACTTTTGCCGTGAACAACAATGACACGAGATCTTTGGTCAACAAAAATCTAGGAGGGTTTTTTGCAAGTGACAATGGATAATTTTGAGAAATTTGGTAATAACGAAACATTGTTTGACCCTAACCATGATACATGTCTCAGAACTGCAAGCTGTGTCATCTTAATGAATTTCTTTTTGATGGTGTTGCGCGTCTTATGTTCGAGATGAGAGATGAAATAATAAGTTTCATTTGACTGTTTTCTAAAATAAATGTGTCCTTCTGAGGGTTTGGGTCATGGAAAAAACAGGTTTTTCGCACGGACTCACGGACTCTAGTGTAAAAAATTCGATTGTGCACGAGAATCGATATCTCGAGATATCGCGATGCATCGATGTTCCCTGCCTGAGAGGAGAACCAACCGGAAGCGTTCGTTAAAAGGCAAAATTACAAATCGTCAGAGGACAATTCATGTAACGATCAGCGACTGACACATCAATCTAGATTTGTAAAGAACGAGTCCCTCCCATGTGATATCAATTCTTTGATGTCTTTCCTTCTTGTTTAAAAAATTAATACTACTACTGCCCCCTTAATATTTCAGAGCTTTGCTACGACCCGAAAATAGTAGGAAATCGACATCGATCGTACCACGACCGGCCTTCTAAAAAAAAAAAAAATACGATTTCAAGAAATCCTAGGAGTCATGAAGTTAATATAGTTATTGTGTAGGAGTGTGGTGAAAGGAAAAAAGTTGTGTAAAAGGGATAGGGGTTGGTTTGGGTGCGAATGGCAGTGGTACCAATATGGTCGATGTGCCACCCGTCAAAATTTAAACTTGGCAACAAAAAGAAATCAAAATGCCGTAAAATTCGAAAAACTCCAATGCTAATGTATTCCACAGTGGAACATCTTTGAAGTCAATCATTATTAAAATGTTCGTGGGAGAAAGGAGGCAGTAAATTAATTTTCGCGGGTTGGCAACAATCTTCTCGGCAACTGCGCCCTTACGAAAATAGCGAAGCCGAAAACACGAGTAGTCGCGCATTAAAACTGCCCCGCCATTGTTGCTGACGTTGAATTGTTTGGCTTGTTTCAAAAGGCGGTTCTCTAGTCATGTTTTTTTCAATTCTGTGTAATAGTTCTCATTCACAACGTAATAACACCACGACGGTTGGTTTGACAAACTTTATAAACTCAGTAGGGATGGTTTCGAATCGCAGGTGAGTCTTGTTCGAGGAACATGAGCACTGAAAGTCGCGAGGTGGAGCGATGTGGTCATCGTGCTAACTGAATGAAAAGAAACATCAAACAAAAACTAGAGCTAAGACAGAGCTAAGAAATATAATTTTGTTTTATTGATTTAGTAAAGAGTTGATAAATGAAAAAATTGTTCTATTTTTTCAATATTTTTAAATCTTTTCTTCAACATGTGTCCTCAAAATATATTCAGATATGTCATAATTTAATCAGATTAATTTTGTGGTAGAAAATACACATTGAAAATGAAACAAACACAAAACTCACAATGAGTGTAGGTTTCCATGTTGGTATGACTGTGTAATGTTCCGCGCATGAGCAAAGACATTCCCATTAAGAATTTTCATCAGGCAGTGCCAATGAAAAGACTGCGTCCAAAAAACCCTCTTGTGCTATTGTTGCATCTGTTCTATCACGGTCGCGAAAAGTTTTTTTTATTCGAACGTCCTTTTTCAAAGAAGCGACCGTTTTTGGGGTAACCTGTACACAAGCGAAAAGGAGCCATGCTATTGGTTGGGTTTGGCTCGGCTCCCCCCTCTCTCTTCCCTTTTCGTTGACGAGTCGAGCTTTGCTATGGAAACAGTGATTTTGACGGCAATTTTCTCAAAATTTACACGGTAAAAACGGTTCCTGGTTTTCCCAGGAACCCCCTGGAAATCGCCTATGTCTTCGCCATAGGGCTCCTGGGAAAACCAGGTACCGTTTTTACCGTGTATCGCTAAGATTTCAACCATATTCCAGAATTGAAATCACGTCTCAGAATTCTACCAGTCTGCAAAATCTCATCAAAATCGTACAGAGAGGTTTCGACTTGCATAAGGGGCCACGCGATCAAATCCCAGCGAGGCTGAATCCTGGGTGATACTATAAGGCTACTTCGTGCCTAAAAAACCTCTTATATAAGCTTTGAACAGGACCCTACGAGTGGCCTGTCAAAGCGTCTGAGCACAAACACCGTTCAAATTGGCATTTAAGGCGCGCGTGGACCTGGCCGTGCGATCCAACAACCAATGGAAAGACAACGCGTTCGTCTTGAACTTCCGGAACTCGGCGTGTTCTACGATGCGGGAGCATGTGCCTGACTTCTTTCGCATCGTTGCGAAACACAGCGGGGCAACCACGGATACGAAAGCACCCTGCGTCATTCCAGCCGTAAGTTTGATGTATCGTAGTGGCCGATGGACTCCTTGTCCATAACGATTGCCACATTCGTGCATATGTACATTGTGTACTTGGTTGTAAATCTGAGGTAAATCTGCTCCACAAATCGAGAAGCGTACATTGAACGCTCTACCTGGGGCTTGCCTGCAAGCACGCTCCAACTAGCGCATGCCTGCCAAGCATGCACTTACTAGTGCATCGGGAAGCGTGTACATGACATGTATGCACTGGTTACTGCATGCTTGGCAGACATGCGGAGGGTAGCGCGTGCTTGCAGGCATGCTTCAGGTAGAGCATATCATGAACGCTTTCCGATTTGTTAGGCGACGGTTAACATACGTGACCAATTAATCGTGTTGTCAGGACAATGTAAATGCATATCCCGGGCGTAAACAGGTACTCTTCAAAGGCCCAGGAGAAGGATACGTGGCCACAACACACCAAATTCTTGTTGACTTAAGCATAATTGTGCATGCACAGTTAAAGTGCTAAAAATTCCGTACTTTAGGACGGAAAATGTACTTATGAATAAAGTAGGGAAGTATGAAAAAGTATGGAACGTCCGCACTAGTTCCAGGAACTCGTGTAATCGGGTAAGGAAAAGTAGTACAGAAGTTCCGTAGTCGGTCATGTACGAACGGTCCCGGCAAATTATTGACCATGACATGTTCCGTACTTTTTTCTGCCCTTTTTTTCTCGCAGTGACTTTTACGTAAAGTGTGCAAAATATTCTGCATGACAGTGAACATTTATGCATGAAGATGCATAAAATATTCTTAGTCATGCATAATTTTATCCACACCTCGTATGCCTGTGCATGCATAATTGTGCCTAGAAAAGGCATAATTGTGAATGTAAAAGTCCACAAGAGTTTAGTGTGAAAGTGGACATTTTCAGTGAAGCTGGTCCAGAGACCAGCTCCTTACTTATTGACTGGATGAATCGCTTTATACTCCAGGGACACTTCGCCTTCAAGAATGAATCAGTTGCCTGGACATTTCCCAGCTTCCCTGTGATGCCTTATGGACGCTACAAGTTCCGAGCAACAGGAGGCTTCTCCAAGTCCACCGCTCATCCGTCGTTTTGTGTGGCAGTTGACTGCGAAGTCATCCCAAAGCCGTCATAAGTACGAGGGACAAGATATGCTCTGCAAATTCAACAGTGTACTCAGTACACTCTAGTTAGAGTGTACTCATGAGTACACTCTAACTAGCGTGTACTCGGATGAGTACACTCGGTTTCAGGAACGAATGTCCGCAGAAAAAATGTCCACCTAATTTATGTCCGTTAGGCAAAAATGTCCTGCAAAAAAATATGTCCGTATGGCAAGAATGTCCGCCCATTAATTGGCCGCATTTTTAAATGTCCAACTATTTGTTTGTCCATAGTGACACAAATAAATTAAGTCCTTTCTCTAACAATTTTATTTCGAAATAACATTTGACAATCATAGTTTGTCCTTGTTACATGACAATCATTGACAATTAATCTGGCTGCAACTTAATGTTGTAGGAAATGGCCTCCAAGTATCTAAATTCTTCCCCCCCTCTCTTTGTAGTCCTCATAGTTGTTCGCCAAATTATGGATCCTCCTTTGACTCATTTCATACTTTTTGTTGACGGGCTGCTTCACGCTGATGTGACCAGCCCTTACCTGCCCCAGAATTTGGTGGAAGTCATGCTCCTCCGACCTCAACTCGTCAATAAATTTCCACACATTTGCATGATGCACAACAGTTAGTTCAGCCCAATTAGTTCGGTGCCGAAAAAAACTCAGGCCATTATTGGGGGCGGTCATTAAATTATGGGACATTCTACCTTGGACATTACGTGCATGGACGAAAAATCGACGGACAAAACCGAACCGGACATTTATCAGCGGACATTTCTTCACTGTACCAGTACACTCTAACTAGCGTGTACTCAGATGAGTACACGCTTTCAGCTGCTGCCAGGCGTGCTTAGGTGTGTACTCATCTGAGTACACGCTAGTTAGAGTGTACTCATCCGAGTACACGCCAGAGTGTACTCATCCGAGTACACGCCAGAGTGTACTCATCCGAGTACACGCCAGAGTGTACTCATGAGCACACTCTAACTAGAGTGTACTGAGTACACTGTTGAGTTTGCAGAGTGGCGAATGATTTTCAGCGTAACACACACTGAGAAAACCTTACGAACTATTTTGGGCATTACAAAGAAAGGCTGCTTGTTACAACAAAGTATTTGGAGCGTACCTAACAAGGGAACGTTCTCAGGTGTCAGGAGCCGATTGCTCCCATACTTCGGGATCTTAAGGACCACCTCAAAAAAGAATTTTCGCCACCGACAGTTCGTGCTGAAAGTCATACAGCGCCTTAAAATGGAAGTTCAAAATTGACCAATTTCCATAAAATTGATCAAAAACTTATTTTGACCAAAAAGTTTCCAAATGGTCTGAAACGCACAGAAATACCGTTTTTTTTCGATTTTGGCCAAAAAAATTTTCTCTCTCAGAAATTGAAAAATAAATGGTTTTATTTTTTACGATTTTGACTGAAAAGTTTCCAAATGGCCTAAAACGTCCAAAAATATCATTGTTTTCCATTTTGGAAGAAATTTAATGTTTTGCCCTCTGAGAAATAAAAAAAAATGTAAAATTGCGAACTTTACAAGTAAAGCTGTCAAATGGTCAAAAACGCCCAAAAATGTCACTGTTTGAACCTTGGAAGAATTTTTTTCCCAACGGAGTTAAGGTTAATACCTGCCGATGTCACCCCAAATAACGGTAACAGAAAAAGTCTAAATAAATTCTCACATTGAAACATACGTTTCAGTGGGTACAGCAGGTAATGTTATACTCTTTAAATTGAAGAGTGTACATGGTATGCTCTAACTGGAGCGTGCCTGCAAGCACGCTCTAGCTAGCGCATGCCTGCCAGGCATGCACTAACTAGTGCATACATGCCATGTACACGCTAACTGAAGCATGCATTTAGTGCATAAGGGATAGGGAGTTGTCTGCATCAGGAAGCGTGTATATGGCATGTATGCGCTAGTGAGTGCATGCTTGGCAGGCATGCGCTAGCTAGAGCGTGCTTGCAGGCATGCCCCAGTTAGAGCATACCATGTACACTCTTCGATTTGTAGAGTAACAGTCAAATGGTCGCCGCTTGCCGGAACGTTCGTTGGAATGTGATATGAAGTAAATGTCTCGTCACGTTGACTTGATTACTACTGCATGCATGTGCCCAATAGAGTACTCCAAAGAAGCTCTGACCCGGAAGAAGAACAAAAACGGAAATTGCAGTTACTATGAGAAATATACGCAGCGCATGAGGTCCGCAGCGTATATTCCTCATAGAAACCTGAAAATCTCACTGCTGTTTTTGTTCATCTTCTTTCGGGCCAGAGCTTCTTTGTAGTACTCTATTACACGTTCAATCAATCTTCCGAGATTCCCAGGAATGTTTGAACAGATGCTTTGGCCGTGTGCATGAAATTTAAAGCGTTTCACATTGAAAAACGGTATAGAGCCATCACATTCGTGTCACATTCACTTGACCGTTGCTTTGCTGCGATTGTCGAGCTAGAAAAAACTTTGCCTTTTTGTATTGGCAACGCATTTCAATGAGAATAGTATTCTTTTAAAACTTTTCTTGCTGTCATCAGGAACACAAAAGCAGAGGGAAGAAGTTAAAAACTTGAATTGCATTAGTGAAACAAAAGCACTCAACTTATGTCCTTAATGGCGTCAACACGATTAACGCACTCGGAAAGGCGTGAATCGCTTATTGCCTTTGGAAGGGCGTCTTCATTTTGAACGAAAGTCCCATAGTAATTCACGTCCTTCCAAGCAGCATTAAACGATTCACGGTCCTCAAGTGCATAATAGAATTTTATGCCTATAACGACGTTGCTTTTATGCCTTTGTTTTACCAGTGTGCGTGTATATATCGAAGGTCAAGTTTTCTTTTTATTGATCATAAAATTGATCATATTGATCATAATTGGTCAAAAAAATCTCCCAAAATAGAAAACAACGATATTTTTGGACGTTTTAGGCCATTTGGAAACTTTTAGGTCAAAATCGTAAAAAAAATATTACTTATTTTTCTGAGAGAGAACAATTTTATGCAGAATAGAAAAACGGTATTTCTGGGCGTTTGAGACGTTGGAAACTTTTTGGTCAAAATAAGTTTTTCAGTCAAAATCGTAAAAAAAATTATTTACGTATTTTCCTTCTGAGAAAAAAATCGGTCACAATGAACTAAAACGGTAGTTTTGGGAGTTTCAGACCATTTGGATACTTTTTGGTTAAAATTAGTTTTTTGGTCCAAATTGTAAAAAAAATTCTTCAATTTCTGAGAGAGAGAAAAAAACCTTCGTCCAAAATCGAAGAAAAAAGGTATTTCTGGGCGTTTCAGACCATTTGGAAACTTTTTGGTCAAAATCATTTTTTGGTCAATTTTATGGAAATTGGTCAATTTCCAACTTCCATTTTAGGGCGTTGTAGTGACTTTCAGCACGAACTGTGGGTGGCGAAAATTCTTTTTTGAGGTGGTCGTTAAGATCCCGAAGTATGGGAGCAATCGGCTCCTGACACCTGAGAACGTTCCCTTGTAAGCTTAGAAAGAAAATACTTCGTAATTTACGAAACCTTTTCTTCGTATAACAAAGTAAATTGCTATTTTGTACTATGTATGCTGAAAATACTTCATAAGGTTAAAAGCGTAAGCACTGTTAATAAAATTTTTGTTGTAATTAAACAAGGAAGTTCTTGACAGTGGGTGTATGCTATGCCGAACAGATTGATGGCAACACATCATAATCACATCCACATTGTCGCCGATGGTACAGTTTTCTGATGATTGGATTGTAATACAAGAAGACCCAATCAATCACCTGAATGTTGGAGTACTGCCCACCTACTAGTACACAAAGAGCGAAGAAAACTCTCATTAGGCAAATCACGTTAGGCCACTCTCTTCGAAGCACAAGTGAATACTTAAACGGACTTAAATGATCCTTCATGATGTGTGAATTTTAATACAAAGAACACATTTATTCATTTACGTTCATGACAAAATTGAGGGGATAAAGAACATAACTATGTAAAATTTGTACCTGAGTTCACAACTTGAATAAATAATGTACAATGCGTACTTAACAGATCCAGGTTTTTGGTGCACGTCACTTAAGATAAACCATTTGTGGGCAAATGAGCCTGGCGTGCTCCGCTCGTTCGTCAAGCACCAACATCCTTGTTTCAATCAAAATACACACCGCCGAGTAAAACACGCAGTTCAATCACTTCGACTAAAAATTTAAGTCCTAAAGAAGGGATCCTCTCAATCAAATTACACACTCCAGAGCAGAACAGAAGCTTCAACTAAGATCATGAATTCCAAAAAGGCATGCTTCTGTTACTTCAAGAACATGCATCAAAACAACGCCACACACTACCGGCTACCTGTCCATCCAAGTGAAGTCCCCGAGCTCCGGGAACTCCGGCGCGGCGTCGCACACCGCGCAGAAGACCTTCGGGGCCCTGCCGCGCACTCGCAAGGCCTCGTCGATGCTCGCCTTCTGCCGCTGGCACGCGTTCCTGTTGTGGGGGATCTCCCTGTCGGGCACGTCGGGGTGCAGCCTTCGCAGCAGGACGACGCGTCGCAGCGCCGCCAGGCCGCAGCCGCGCAGCCCCGCCGCCAGGTCCCTGAAGTGCCAGGGGGTGTCGCCGTGCGTGGCGCACAGGAGGCGCAGCTCCATGAGGGTGGCGGCGTGCGCCCTGGCCAGCGACAGCGCCGTGGAGCTCGGCCGCAGCGACACCCAGAGCCACTGCAGGCCGCGGTGGTGCGGCGGCAGCGGCGGTGACACCACGGCCACGGGGTCGTCGCTCCAGTCCAGCGAGAGCTTCCGCAGCCGCGGCATGCGCTGCAGCGACGTGAAGTGGTGCTTCGCCACGTTCTCCACGGTCAGCTCCTCCAGCTGCAGCGGCAGGGCCGGCGGCGTCCCGTCCGTGTGGCACACGTGCAGGTGCAGGTAGCGCAGGGACGGCATCTCGCTCACGGCCTGCTGGTGCTCCGTCAGCGCCTCCAGCACGTACAGCCACTCCACTGTCGGGGCCACGCGCTTCAGCAGCGACAAGCTCCAGCTGGGCTGCTTGCAGCAGTTGACGCCGTTCAGCCGCTTCACCTGCAACGCGAAAACGCGCACTCGAAGACTGTCAACACTGAAAATTGCATGGTCGGACACATGGCCAAATTGTGGCGCGACAAAAAGTCACGCCGAAAATGGGCGTGACAGGAAATTCACGCCGGAAAACGGCATGATGTGTGCGTCACGCCGTCATCTGGCGTGAATGTACTATGTGAAATGGTGCGTACAATGCGCTTTGTGAGAAAAGTCGTGCCAAAAATCGGCATGACAGGAAATTCACCCCAAAACTCGGCGTGAATTCGGAGTCACGCCGATTTTTGCCATGACTTTTTTTGTCATGCCGTTTTTCTGCGTGACATTTAATTCACGCTCCTGCAGCGGCACGAAGTCACGCTGGTAGATTTTCAGTGAAGGTTTCGACGGCAAAACCAGCTCCCGGCATCCACTGTTAAGTTCAGCGCGGGGAAGAACTGAACACCTTGAGTAAGTATTGCAGTATTTCATGATAAAAATAAAAGCGAGGGGTGAATCACTAGTGTACTCATGTGTACACAAAAGCCCGTACTCTGTACTCACGAATTTTAAAAGAGCGCAAAAAACCAAACTTATTTTCCTTGTAAGACGCCAAAGAGGCGTAAAAACGTTAGCAATAAGCTCCATTCAAGAGCGTTATCAAGTGTCCTCACCTGTACTCATGTGTACACAAAAACGCTGAGTGATTCACCCCAACAGCTCCACAGAACTGCTTCTACATCGAAGTGTTTGGGCTTTACCTTGTCTAATCCTGCAGATTGCATGATGTCGTCCAGTTGCGAAGAATGTTGGACTTGATCGGTCGCTTCCGAGACGTCAAGACACTCGTCAGGGGCGTAAACCTGGAATCAGTCAGCGACTTAAAAAGGATGCACTGAAAGGCAATTCGTTCGCTACAATCTGAAGTGTTTACTCAGTACGCATCTACGGATGCATACTTGCAAGTGATGGGTCTTCTGTATACTGATCCATACTTGGATGAGTACACACCTAAAGCGTTTGCACCTGTAGGTGTGTACTCAGCAAAGTACGCATCTGTAGTGTCGAGCCGCATTTTCGAAGTCAAGGACAATTCCACGATTTCCCGGACGATTTTTCATGGATTTCGCAGCCCTCTACGGCAACTTTTACAAAAACAAAAACTTTTACAAAAAGTTGCCGCAGAGGGGCACGCAAGGAGAGGCACGGGCGCGCTTCGCAAGGCACTGGCTGTCAGTGGAATCCCACTAGACGGACAGCGGACGGCATACGCGCGGACTTCGAAGACAAATCTTCGAGGAAACTTCCCGGATGGAAAGTTAAATTCCCGACCATTTCAAGGCGTTTTAGCGGTGCTCCAATTTCCGGGACAATTCCAGGCTTATCAGTGCTCGTCGCCCTGCGTGTACTTGCAGGTGCGCAGTCGTAAATGCAAGTGTGTACTTCGTAAACGGTAAGGTTTGTGGCGAGTTACGAATGGAAACCCTACCGCAGCGTAGTTGTGCCCTGGCAGAGTGATGACGACGTTGCTTCCGCCGACATGTTGGCCGACATGCTGGTCGACATGTTGGTCGACACGTTGGTCGACACGTTGGTCGACATGTTGGCCGACATGCTGGTCGACACGTTGGTCGACATGTTGGTCGACACGTTGGTCGACATGTTGCTCCACATGTTGGTCCACATGTTGGTCCACATGTTGGTCGACATGTTGGTCCACATGTTGGTCCACATGTTGGTCTACATGTTGGTCTACATGTTGGTCCACATGTTCGTCGACATCGTTCGTCTCCTGCTTCAGTCCGCTAGGCATTTCGTCAGCTGCTTCCCAATCTCCATTAGGAGACAGAATCTGCACAGAAGTGAAGGGGATGAAAATCGCACTAGTAAACCAAAGGTTTCAAAACCACGCTCCGACACTGGTATTTCTATCGTGATAAAGTTCATGCAATAAGCAGCGATAAAAAAGGCTTATGTGATTCCTTCAAAATTAGCACAGTGGCAGCAATAAAAAATTATATCGTGTTATAAATGCAATCACGTCGCACAATAGTCGCAAAATTTCCATACGTGACATCTTACCATGATGTCGTCTGTGTCTGCCGCCGACACAGTGGTGGCGTTGTCCGCGAAAGACTCCTCGTCGCGTTCCTGCTCCTGCTTCAGTTGGTCGTGGATGACGACGCTGTCGAGAAGCGGGCCCTCTTCACGAGGCAGCGACGTCACCGCTGTCACTGCCAGCTGTGGCACCTCCTGTGGAATCGAGAGACATTGGAAGATGAGCCACTCCGTGCAAGATTAAGACATTCAGATATACATTGACTGCACCAATCAATTGAATTTTCACCGAACGTTAACCTCCTACAAATTTAACAAAATTCTTAAAGTGAGTTCCAACATCGAGGGGTCCTATTCAAAAGATCTTATCTGGGCGCTCCTATTCAAAGAATCTTATCTGCAAAGCAAGCAAATTTCACTAAGTTTGACCATTAGAGGCAGCTACTAATCAAGATAATTTGGGATTGTAGTTACACAAACTTGAAGATGAAAGATCGAAGAAATTAATAGTGCGTGTAGAAATATGTTACGCTTAGTGAAATTTGCGTGCGTTGCAGATGAGATTCTTTGAATAGGAGCGCGCAGATAAGATCTTTTGAATAGGGGCCGTCGACATGGTACCGGCAAATAGACACCTCCAGCGAGGCCTGAAGTGAAGAACAAGAAGAAGAACATAGACCGGAAACAGATCAAGAAATCGGCTTCTATCGGGGGGTTTTGGCAGGTTTAAATCAAATTATATTACAAAATTAAGCCTCCTTGAATTTTTGGATTGAGAATAAACATTCGTCATCAAGAAATGAGCGTAATTTGGCAACTGTTTCCGGATTATGTTTTTCTTCTTGTTCTTCACTTCAGGCCTCGCTAGAGGTGTCTATTGGATGCCCGTACGGGCACACACTCAATGTCATTGGGCTTATCTTTGACCCATGAAATGATGCAATTTTAAGCACACTCTGAGAAAACCTTACAAACTATTTCCAAAAGTATCAGCTCCAC